GGCCTCAGCATGGCCGGAGAAGCGGTGCGTCAGTGCGCGCCCGGGATCCGAACCCGGGCCGCCAGCAGCGGAGCACGCGCACTTAACCGCTAAGCCACGGGGCCGGCCCTCTTTGTTTCTTTATGGTGTGTCTAAAAACACTGGGGAAGGCAAAACTCATGAAGAACAGACTCTCAGCATGTAGGGAAGAAGGAAATAACCATTTCCGCAAATCAGAGGTCAAGAGCTGGTCAACTGGAATAGAGAAAGCCTGGAAGAATCCAGAAGGGAGAGGTGGCTGCCTCTTCCGTATACATCCTGGGCCGTATACATCCTGGACTTCAGAAATGCAGGAGATAGGATGGGCACTCTGACCACATTTTTCCTCCGCTGTTGAGTTGGCTTCTTATGCAGAACGCACCATGTTACAGTGTTCCCTACCAGGGGCCTGTCCATACTTTCGTTGCTTATGATGGAGTTGATGGCTTCACTTCACTGAATCAGCCCCCAGAGGGTGAATTGCTATTGGTATCCTAGAGCTGGGCAGGGCTGCCCAGTGCTGGAGCACTCAGCCTCCAGGACATTGAAACTAGCCTCACTGAGCAGTGTGCCCTAATGAAAAGTACATGGACCATGCTTCTACTGCCTGGAACTAGTTCGATGTCACTTAGCCATTCTAGGCTGCAGTTTACTCTTGTGTGAAATGAAACAGTTGAGTTATAAGTTGGAATCTGTGGGGACCCCAAACCCCTTTTCCCCTTTCAACCAGAGCTTCTAGACTTTGGACTTTTGTGGACAAAGATTCTAGGGCTAAAATGACTGAAAGCCACCAGTATGATCTCCATTCCAGCTGTGAGTCTGTGTGTTGGGGGTCTCCAAGACCAACCCTAGATTTGCTCGAAGGACTCACAGGACTTGGTATATAGTTGAATTTATGGCTATGATTTATTGCAAAGACAGGACATAAAGCAAAATTAGCAAAGGGAAGTGGCACATGGGACCAGTCTAGGCACAAGTTTCCAAGAATCCTCTCCCGACAAGCTCACACAGGACACACTTAATTCCTCCAACAACAAGCTGGGACATGTGTGAAATGTTCTCTACAGGGAAGCTCATTAGAGACTCAGTGCCCAGGGTTTTTACTGGATGCTCGCTCTGCCTAGCACACGTCAAAATTCCAGACTCCCAAAAGGAAAGCAGTGTTCAGCATAAACCACATTGTTTCTACAGTAAACCACCCTTATCAGTTAGGAAATGGTAGGAACACTCCTGAAATCCACGTTTCCAGCTGCCAGCCATGGGTCAGCCTTGCAAGCAGGCTTTTCCAAGGGCAGCAGTCTCAGGCCAGAATGTTAGCTCTCCTCTGCAGTCTGTGATTCTAAATTTCAAAAATGCCAACTGGCTGCTGAAATAAACCCAAAAGGAATTTTGTCCTTAAAATTGCTTTATATGGCATCAGGAGCAAAAATTTGTTCCTCAGCCCTGGCAGTCCATCACCATTAGAGAAAAGAAAGAAAAAAATAAAAATCATCTGTAATCCCACTATTCATAAATAATATGATTATTTTGAATTTTTAAAAATAAGATCATGTTCTGTATATTATTGAATAATCTGCTTTTTTTCAGTTAACATTATAGCAGGTTCATCTCTCCATGTTATTGAGCATAGGTTATCCCACCATTTCAAATGGCTATAACATATTCTTCTGTATCTCAAAATAAGAAAGACATCCTTTAGAAGAAATCCTATATTGCCATAATACATATTTTTCTTGTTTCCCTGGGGAACGATGACAACTGTGTCCAGGACGAGAGTGAGGAGCCATTGACTGGAGTGCCCCAGGTATGAAGGTGACAAGGCCTCAAGGAGGGCAGCAGCAAGGAGATGGAGCGGAGACAGAATCCTCTAAGAATTTGGAATCTGACTCTTTCCCAATTACATAAATTGCTAAATCATTTTGACCAAAACTGTAAGAGGAATCAGCACGTTTCAGTTAAAACTAGAAGCAGGTTGGGAACTAAAGGAACATTATTTCCTAGAATGATTGTTTTCTCTCTTTGCTGACTAATTTGAAGTATCTAGATAAGATGAACCATGAAATACAAAATGTTCATTTTAAAGGAGAAAATTGAGATTTGCTAAATTCCAGTTTTGGTTCCTCCATGGCTGCAATGGGCCCTTCGAGGCCTCACAGCCAGAAAAACAGCTTTGAAGCCATTGGCATCGTTCTTCACACTCTTCACCAATTTTCACATATAAAATCTATTCACTGTAAGCCAGTGACTCTTTAAAAACAGAATCTTCTTATTCTTTGGTTATTGTGTACGTTGTGAATTTGAGGAAACATTGGAGAAGATGGAAGTGGCTTGACCATGTTTATTTGGGTAATTACACGTGTGATTGTCGGTGTTTTTCACATAGGTTAAAGGCCCTTTCATGACCAACTCCATTGTGTTGAATGCTTTAAAACCTTTAAGAGTATACTGTTTACGAGTCCAGGCATGGCTGCTTTGGACAAAGCCAAACATCTCTAGACCCGGACATTTAAGCAACATATCTTGCTCCAAAACAATGGAAGATGGTAGGTAACATATACCTTCTTATGTCCTTTTTGTGTTGGGAAAAGAATACTCCTAAAATAGTGAAATCAGGGATCGCTTACTAGGTGAAGGGTGGTGGGAGTGGGGAGACCCAGAGAGAAGGGGGTGAGAAGAGAGCACTTAACTGTGGGTCTAACAAGCTCTTGCTGAGATCTCAAGAAGCAAGAGCCGCCAAACAGCTAACACTTGCTTTATTTTAGGATTGCCTTGACTAGCTATTAATTTAAGCCTATGGGGCTGAGTGAGGAGGGGCAGTGTCTGTCCATTTTACTGGGGCATGAATACTATTTATGCAGTGGTGAATGAAAAATTGCCCGATGTTTGTATCATGTGTCGGATGGTCATCCTGCCCACTTTTATGTCATCTTTTTAGCCTCTACCAAGCTTCAACAAGTCATTCTCATCGCCATGGGAACCTTTCTGTTGCTGTTGGCGATGGCAGGGGCCTGTCTCTTCATGGTCCTGAAGTACAGAGGCCTGGTTAAATACTGGTTTCAGTCTCCGCCAAGCATCCCAGTGCAAATAGAAGAGGTACGTGTGCTCACATCTAAATGGGTGATGTGTCAGTGCTCCACAGCCCCCTGGTAACACCGAAGAGTACAGCAGTGGACAAAGCTCTGGAAACAGAGATTTGAGATAAAAGTGGTACAAGGTTATCTGTATGCCCGTGTTCACAGCAGCATTATTCACAATAACCAAAAGGTGGAAGCAACCCAAGTGTCCATCAACAGAGAATAGATAAATAAAATGTGGTATACACATACAATGGAATATTACTGAGCCTTAAAAAGGAAGGAAGTTCTGACCCATGCTACAACATGGATGAACCTTGAGACATTATGATAAGTGAAATAAACTTGTCACAAAAAGACAAGTACTATATGATTCCATGTATAGAAGGTACTTAGAGTGGTTAAATTCAGAGACAGAATGTAAAATGGTGGTTGCCAGGGTCTGGGGGGAGGAGGAGATGGGGAGCTAGCATTTAGTGGGTACAGAGTTTCAATTTTGCAAAATGCAAAAAGTTCTAGAGAAAGATGGTGGTGATGGTGGCATGACAAGGTGAATATACTTTCCACTACTGAACTGTATACTTAAAAATGGTTAAGATGGGGGGCCAGCCCGGTGGCATAGCAGTTAAGTGTGCGCGCTTTGCTGTGGTGGCCAGGGGTTCAGATCCTGGGCACGCACCGACACACTGCTTGTCAAGCCATGCTGTGGCGGCGTCCCATATGAAATGGAGGAGGATGGGCACGGATGTTAACCCAGGGCCAGTCTTCCTCAGCAAAAAGAGGAGGATTGGCAACAGATGTTAGCTCAGGGCTAATCGTCCTCACACACACACACAAAAAATGGTTAGGATGGTAAATTTTATGTTATGTGTATTTTACCACAATTAAAAAAAAAATTTTTTTAATGGCAAGAGGTTGGCAAAAAAGGTGGCCTGGCCAAGGGATGGGCTGCAGTAGGTCCCTCTCGCGAGGCAGCACATCGGTCCTACGCTCTTTGGGGGATGCCCGCAGGGAAGCCCGGCTGGAGGATACTGAGGCAGTGGAGACAGTGGTCAAGGGCATGAGCTGTGGGTCAGGCAGTGTGCACTTAGGAGGATCCTGGAGTAAACGCACGCAGAGCCGTGAGCACGAGGCCTTGTGTGCCAGGTGCTCAGTGGATGTTAGCAGTATTTTAAAGGACTTGAGAAAGACAAGTGGAGTGGGTCTTGTGCAAGTCTTCTGTTCCTACACAGCCCCAGCCCCCTGAGGCCCTGCGAGGCAGCTGGGTCCTCTGAGGACACAGTCGGGACATTCTTAGGATCAGAAGCTAGCTGACAGAAGAATGTTTAAAAGTATTTGCTTCTGGAGGTTTTTCTCCAGTAAAATCGGGGTGAAGGCACTGAACACAGTATCTTATTCTGTTCTCTCTGGTCTGTGAAGACAGAGTGGTGCTTCTAGAAAGAATTACAATCATTTGTTTTCCTTCATCTGTCAGGAGGTATTTAAAAAGTACACAGACATTATAAAAATTACATGTTAAATTCCTAACTAGAAGCTCCATATAAATCCTGCATGACTCCACTTAGATGAGGCATCTAAAATAGTCAGATTCATAGAAGCAGAGAGTAGAATGGTGGTTACCAGGGACCGTAGAAGGGGGAAATGGGGCGCTGCTGTTCAACAGGTATAAAGTTTCAGTTATGCAAGATGAATAAGTTCTAGAAATCCGCTGTACAACCTCGTGCCTATAGTTAGCAATGCTGTATTGTGCACTGAAAAATTTGTTAAGAGGGTAGAACTCATGTTACGTGTTCTTATCACAAAAAAAAAAAACAACCCTTCCCTGGTTAATACTGTCACAAAATAACAGCTTTCAACCGTCTCAGGATTTTACCTGTGTTAATAATCTCTCTCTCACAGTAGGACTACCAGCTGGGCCCTAGTAAATGAATTTACTACTAGTTGTTCCTTTGGGGCTTGAATCTAAAACATAGTCTTTTGGTTTACTTCCTGGGAAAGTGTGAAACATATATATGAAAAGTCACTGAAGTTACATGAGAATAATGAACGCTGTTTCACTTATTTTTGAGGTTTCACAAGTGCACGTGATTCATCATTGTTCCTCTTTTAATCAGTCAGCTCTCAGCTTACTGTGCTCTGGTATCATTCGGCATTTCTAAGAGCTAGGCAGTAGTTCTTGGGAACTTGGTGAATTTAGGGTTAAGCCTAAAGCAGAGGCAGGAGGGAAAGGGAAGGTTAGGCGCTGTGGCATATCACTTTATATTGAGAACCTCTGCTTTCTCATGCCCTCCACTCCAGGGCTGCACTGACCATTGCACAGCAAGCCCAGATTCTCTGCTCGTTGGGGGTTGTGTGAAGTAGAAACAACTGGTGGGTGGAGTGGCTGAGAAAAATGCTCGTGAACTCGGCCTCTTTTCCCCGACTGTAGGTGAATGAGAGGTCCTGTTTCCTCCTTCACGGAAAAGTTAGAATTTCAGAGACATTTAAGGATTAAGAATCCACAAGCCTGCCCTCAGTGCAGCAAGTCAGAGCTTGGTTTTCCTGAGTTATGCCCTTTTACACCTTCAGAGTATTATCTTGTTGGCCCCTGGATTCGTGTTGAAGTTATTCATGAGATGGGGAGAAAGGGTATTCAAGCTTTAGAAGTTGTTTCGTTGGTGGACAGAATAGGAAGTTATACTTGTATAAAATATGATTGTGCCAAGTAAAAGATCTGGTATTTTGAACTGAGAAACTAATTATAGTGTTGGTTTTCATCCTTTTCCAGTATTTAAAGGACCCAGCTCAGCCTATCTTAGAGGTCTTGGACAAGGACAGCTCGCCAAAGGAGGAGGCCTGCGACTCTGTGTCTGTTGTTTTGTTTCCAGAGAAGGAGGAAGAAGGTGTTCTCCAAAGCACTTTGAAGGAAAGCATTGATCTGGTCCACGAGCCTGCAGGAAGAGGACTGAGCTAGTGACGCTGCTGATGTTTCGGTGGGACCTTATGGAGATCAGTGCCCCATATTCCTGTCGCAGAAAGGCCCATTGGTACCTGGAGAGTAGTGGGTCTCATTGGGACTACAAGCTTATTTTTTTTCTTTAAACTAAGAATTTTCTAAATCATACAAGTTTCTAGAATGATTCTACAGAGATATCCCAGAAAAATTAAGGTTTCTCTTAAACACTAAAAAGGCATGTAATTATTTGTTTGTTAGCAAAATGGCTCTGGCACACCTCTGATATTTTGTTCATTGTTGGCTGGGCCAGGCAGTCCGGAGAGTCAAGGGTCCCCTCCTTGACTCTGACAAATGAGCTGTGGACCCTCAGGCAGTTCATGTAACCTGTCCCAGCCTGTCCCAGCAAGGGACACTGAGCAGCCTCTCACATCCAGTCTCCCAGCTTAAAATGTGATTAATCTTGTAAATATGTTCCTAGTAATTTAAGCGTTTTTTTTCAAGCTAGAATTAAAAGACTATATAATTGACTTTTTAAAAGTCTATGTGAAGTTTTTCCTCTTCACTTTGCCTTCTTTATTTTGGCCTATTTTCTGCAAAGTTTCAACTTTTTAGAATTACTGTATCAAACTTTTGTTTTCGTAAATAACACCCAGTAGAGCTACTGAGGCCTCATGGTCACTCAGCAAGAACTTTCTACTTGTGTCACTTGGTTCCTCGAAAAAGTATGAAGGGGATTTTCAGAAGCTGCATTAGCGCGTCATTTATATGTGATGAGTCACATTTGTTGGGCAAGGCAGGGGCTTGTGAGCAGTAAAGAGGATTAACTAATGGACATAGTGGTATCCACTGGGCATGCAAGTCTTCTGATTGTGCAAGTATTGATAGGCTCTTTTGTTCAAAGGGTATGGATTGAAAACCTAATTTATATGAGTCTTTGTATTTAGGAAATGGATGTTTAGGTTCATCCCCCCCACACACACACACAATATGACACAGTTGCTGTAGGGTCTGCTTTAGAAAGATGCCCCTACTGGCAGCCTAACCTCAATGGGGAGAGGAGACGCAGATAGTAGGTATATGAAGCTTCTAGCACTAGTTGATGGAACCACCTTCTCTCTCTCGGTTGGAGCCCTGTGCCACTGGTGAGGGATTGGCTCTCGGGCTGACTTTCTAACCAAGCATTGGGTACCCTGCCATCCGGGGTGGCAAGAGATAAAAAGACACCCACCCACAGCCCCCACCCTAGGCAAGTCTTCTTGAGAGACATCTACTTTACCTCTTAGGTGCACTTTGAGTTGGGACAGGTTTGGAAGAAGAGTTAGTAGATGGAAATTGTGAAGACCTACCTAGGATCATTTAGGAAATTTAAGATGGAAGCGCCTCCTCTGTTGGGCCATGGGATGAAGCTCTGTGAGAGAGGAGGACATGTATATAGCAGAAAGAGAACAGGTTAAGAGTTTGAGCCCAGCAGAAATGGGGACAGATCAATTCTGTGAGAAAATAAGCTCCTCTGTGCTGCCCTGCCGAAAAGCAGGTTACAGCTGGTCAGGGGCAAGCAGGCTGGCTGTGGGGACCAGATTCTGATAAGGCTGATCCGGGTTCAGGGTGGAATCAGGCTGGTGTCCTGGGGCAGGAGCTGTGGTTCAGGCCCAGAAAGCCCCTTCTTAGTTGAAGGCAGTGGCTTACATTGGTGACAGACTCAGAGGCCAAGCCCAGGGCCAGTGCTATTTCCAGGTGCCTCTCCGGGGCCAGGCTCTCCAAGGTTATTGCCTTATACGGCACAGGCAGGTACTAACACCCTACTGTGTTTACCAAGAGTCCCAGTGTACTGCCCCTCTGTGGGTCCTCGTGACCATCCTAACTCAGCAAACATCTCAAGTAAGTGTGGGGCTGGCCTTTTAAATAGGAAAAGGGCAGGAGTTGTTTTAAGAAGATACTACTCCTTTTTTATGGTATTTTCCAAAAAGAAACACCCAGTTCTACTTTGTAAAAGAAATGACTAATTAATGGGATCAATACTTATACTAACTTGAGACTTAATTTCTACTGAAGCTAAGTACATAATCATGAAGTGTGTGAGTTGGAAGCAATCTTATAAATCAGCTATAATAGGGCAACTACAACCCACACACCAAATCCAGCCTGCTCCCTCTTTATATGGCCAATGAGCTAAGAATTGTTTTTACATCTTTAAATGGTTGAAAAAAATCAAAATGGGCCGGGCCTGTGGCTTAGCGGTTAAGTGCCCGAGCTCCACTACTGGCGGCCCGGGTTTGGATCCCGGGCGC